CAAGTCAGAACACTGCCATCACAGCCGCTGACTCCAGAGCCACCCACCTCTGCCATGTCCACACTAGCAACATGGTGGCTCTGCATCCTGTCTCTCTCTACACAGGACTCCAAACCCAATTCCTGAGCAAGTACTTCTGATGGGTGGAATCTAAATCACATAGAGGTCCTTAGCTGCAAGGGGTTCTGGGAAATGTAGTTTTTAGTTTCTTGCTTCTGCCCACCTGGAGAGGGTTGGCATGGATGTTAAACAATCTAATCCACAGTGCCCTCATATACTCACAAGGTAAAGAGCTCCTGACTTTGCTTTGCCCCCTCACCTCCTCCTCTCAGTGAGCTTTGCTACAGCTCCCACCACTCAATGCTTCATCTAACACCCAAAACCAAGGCAGTATATATACTTAGCTATAATCATAACACATTTTGTGCGTGGATCAAGATTTGGCAGCAGATCTGGGAAACTGTCAGATGGGGAACAAGTGAACAGAGGGTAGGTTGAGAAATGCTGGTTCCCCCATGCTCTAACATGATTCTAAGATGGGCTACTAAGCCCAATTTCAGAGCATCCCTCTCTCCTCTCCAATTCCCTCTTACTGCATAATTGATGGAGAATTAATCACACCTTGGTTTTCTGTCCCAGGTCTTTGCATTTTGGTAGGAGTGATTCACAGAAAGAACGTTTGTCTGGGGGAAAAAATGAGGACCTGATCATGAGCACCAGATGAGAGGTACTCCTTTTAAGCAGAAACAGCTCCAGAATGTCAAGATAAGAGGAGCTTAGGGGCAGCGACTTGATTAGAAATGGGGCTCAAGAACTCGCTCACAGCTGCGTCTATAAAGCCAGGACATGGCTTTTTATGGAGATTGCATGCATAGACTTAAAGCAATAAAGAGCCTTTCTCCATGTTTCATCCATCTAACGCTAGAAAAACATCAACTGTCTTTCTCAAAGACGAGAAACCCCAGAAAGCATGAAGGTAGTAGTTCTTGGTAGGGGTTGCAGTTAAACATTAGGCTGGTAGAGGGCTCAGGACCTGGGAAAGGGAAGGTAGAGTTCCATCACTTCCTAGCTGTGTGACCTTGGAACAGTTACTCCATCTCTCTGAGCTTTGGCTCCTGCATATGAGAAGCAGAGATGTTGATAACTCAGCCACAGGTTTATTGTAAAGATGAAATCCAATAACTTGTATAAAGCCCTGTAGCAGATGTCAGTGTCCCACCCATGTCCCCTTGCACCACCTTGGAGGTTACCTGTAGACAGTTCCCATACATGCCAACGGCTTCCTGTGTCTCTCTGCCTGAGGGTATTCTCTGGCAGTGGGAGTCTGCTTGGCTCCTTCACAGAGCAGACAGGAAGTGCTGGGAAATCAGTGCCTCCAGGAGAGACCCTCAGTGAGGGAAAGGAATCAACAAGTAAGTACCCCAGCTTCCTATCCCCAGTGGAAAAATTCCGAGGTATGTTCTGCACAATCTCTCCACAAGTCCCAGGTAGACTGCATCTCCACTGCCCTCAGTGGTAACTCACTCATCAACACTCTCTTCACTGTTTTTTTTCTTTCCCTTGTCTCACTTTCCTACTTCCTTATTGATGGAATCACTTCCAAATGACTTTTTGCACTCCCAAATCCTTGCTTAGGGTCTGCTTCCAGGGAAATCCAAACAAAGACAAGCATCAAACCCAGTGCCTGGCTCCTTAAAAGGGACCCATCAACAGCACCGTACAGGGCTCCTCATCAGAACAACAGCACAGAAATTATTTAAGTGACTACTTTTCCAATTCTCCCAAAGATGGTGCATAATTAGTACCATTCTAGATGCGAGCAAGAGACATTCATTCACGATGGCTGCGTCAGGGTATTTGGGCTTAATTCCCATGTAGAACTCCATCTGTAAACAAGTAGAATAATGGTGCCTACCTCATAGGGCTGTAACGTAACTTTCAGAAGACCACCTGGTTCTTAGTAAGTTTTCCACAAGGGCTAGTTGTCGTCATCAACCCCAGGGGTCGTGTGGTAGAGGATGAGCATCGTCCTCCAGTAGCCCCTCTTCCTTTAGTAACCAGCACATCCCCCAGCAGCTGCCCAGCCTTCCTTACCACTAGGTATGTCCGTGTGCCTAAGTCCTAGACATGGGTTGTGAGAAAGGAAGCAGGCAAGTTCTGCGTCACAACATTAAGAAGAAGCTGCTTGGCCTCCATCTACCCTTCGCCCTCTTTGAGATGATGGAGAAATGGTGGCAGCTGGAATTGCTGCCTCAGTATCAATGATGGAAAACCTATGTTGAGGATGACAGAGCCACCTCACGAATCTGGACTGTTCACTTTGGGGCTGTTGTGTGAGACATAAATAATACCCCATCTCATTTCACTGTGTCTGAGGGTCTTCTGTTCCAGTGGCTTACCTTTACCTAACCAGTCTAGCCCAAAGCCAACAAAGGGATCAATGGATGTGAGTTTTTTCCTTCTTTCAATTCTCCATTGTGCTGACCACGTGTCCAGAACTATGCTGGAAGCTGAAGTCGGAAGATGAGCAAGATGCAGATCAAATCCTGAGGAACTCAAGGGTAATGAGATAGAAGGATCTAGAGGACAAAAAAAAAAAAAAACCTCAACCTTCCATGATAAGTGCTCACACAAGTGGTGTGGAGGCAGAGGAGGGAGCAATGACCTCAGGTCCTAAAAATGAAGGACAAGTTTGCCAAGCTGTTGGGGGCGGGGAGTGGGATGATAATGAAAGATATTCCAGGGGCAAGAACAGCCTGGGTGAAATCAGGAGGGGGAGGGGAACATGGACATCTGACAAAACAAGCTCTAGGTCCAACTTTACCACTGCCTGGCCACATGGCACCTTGGAAGCTCACGTTAACATCCTGGGTCTCAGTTTCCAAATCCGCAAAGTAGAATAAAAAATCCTGCTCTCACTTGGGCCGTGGTAGCATAAAGGCTCTGATGGAACATTTAGAAGAGCTATTGAGCGTGGTGAAAATGCTAATTACTGGCATCATCACTTGGAAAATATAGTTCGGGACATTTTTTTGCTGGTTGGTTAGGCTCATCTTCGTGGGGCAAATAGGATTAGGCTCCTGGAGGACTGGTGCTCCTGGGAGGTGGGCAGGGGCTCTGAAACTTCCCAGGAGAAAAGCCCAGTCAGCTTGGAAAGGGGTTCAACTTTCTTCACAGCACCTGAGCAACGCAAAGCAAGCACCTTAAGGTTGCCCGTTTTCTTTGACTGAGGAGTTCACCTCTATAACATGAAATTACGTGAAATAATTGCAAACGCTACAGAGCTTTGTGGACAAGGTTGCATGTTGCAAACCTCTGCACCAGGTTCAGGATGACCCCACAGCAGAAGGGCCCGAGGCCCTTAGTCTTTCAGCGCTCAGCTGACGTTTTTCACTGGGAACTGCCCTTTACTAGGGAGCCTCCTCCACAAAGACTATGGAACATACACTTTAAAATTCTCAGTGCTTCTCTCTGGGTAGTGTGAGTACAGGTGATGTTCTGTATTTCTGTGCATTTCCAGATGGACTCCGTGTAACTGTTCAGCCGTCCTCTCCAGGCCATTTTCCCTCCGTCTCCTTGCAATTCCTTTAACATGCCAGGCACATTCCTCTCTGGGCATTTGCACCTGCCGTCCCTCTACCTGGAACCCTCTACCCCTGGACTTCTCCCCTACCAAGTTCAGATCTTTGCTGAAATGTCACTTCCTTGGTAAGGCCTCCTTAGATCTACTCTATTTAAAATATAACCCTCCCCCTCCCCCAGAACACCCAGCCCACTTCTCGACTTCATTTTTGTCCATAGTACTTGTCCCCACCTGACATACTGGGCATACCTAGAACAGCTGAGTGCTGTTCTCGGGTGTTCTAAGCGCATAGTAAGCAATTAACAAATAGTTGTTGAATGGATGAATAAATGCATGAACAGGACCATTTTAGTTTCTTCTGAGGTTCTGCCAGGTTCTTTTTGGGGGGTGTGGAGCAGGCACAAGTGTTGGGTAGAAGGTAGGAAGTAACAGCAGCAGATGGAGGGGAGGATTACAGGAAGGAGGGGCTCTTGGCTGATGCCAAACTGTAGATACCAGGTTCACTATGACACTGGGGTCAGAGGGCAAAGGGTTTCCAATGTGTCCCCCAGGTTAAGAGCAGCAATGTGGCCAGAGCATGAGGGCCCCAGAAAGAAACAAACCAGGAAACCAGCCTTACATGCTAACCACCTAGGATTTGAGAACACCCAAGAGGAAGTGAGAGCTGTTCTCAAATACACAAATGGGTTACCAGCTGTAGGAGGGTGATCCTAAGGGACTGAACTAGGTCTAATGATTAGATGTTACAAGCACTTCTATTTTGGTTTGATATCAAGAACTGTCCCCTACTCCTCCCTACCCTCCATAGGAACTGTCCAACCATGGCCAGAGCCCAGGATTCACCCTTCTGTGGGTTGAACTTTCAACCAGTACATTCAACAGTTATCCATTAAGAGCATTTACTCCGTGTCAGGTGCCCTGCTCAGCACTGTGAAAGCAAGAAGGCTAAATGTTATTCAAATAAAACAACCACATATACAACTACAAATTGTAAAAGCACGAAACAAGGTTGCCAGAGAGAGAGGCCTTACTTAGACAAGTAGTCTGGAGGCCTCTCTCCGGCCTCCTACATATTTGAGGGAGCCCTGAATGGTGAGTATGCTTCCAGCCAGTGAGATGGGGATGCGCGCCCCCACAGAGGGACCCTCAGGAGCCAGGAGTGGCGCGCTAAGATTAGCAGAGACCTCAGCGCAGATCGGAGGAACATGAGGCCCAAAGACCGGGAGTGACTTGCTCGCAGACACACAGTAAGCGGTGGAGCCGTCAAGGGGTGGAGGATCAGCTGAGTCCCCCGTGTCACCTCCTGGAAGCCAGCTGCCTGCTTTGCTGCCTCACTCAAGAGCTGTGAGCGTCGGGGACCCTCGGCAACTGGGGTGAGGCTGTGGCTAGAGCGAGCTGAGGCCAGACCCCCGGAGGGATGGAAAAGGGGGTAGGGGCGGGTCTGATTGACGTCATTTCCGGGGTCCGGGGTATATAAAGGGGGCGCGAGGGTGCTGTTGCCGCTGCTGCTGCTGCTGCAGTGCCTGATCCTGGTGCGGAGAGGCTGTGGGCGTATCAACAGGCGGACGCACATAAAGACACTGGGCGCCCCCATCCCCCAGGCTGGTGTC